AATTACATGGCCATTAGCCAGAAATAAATCAAAAGAGTCATAGGCAGTTCCTGAGTTGTAAAAGATTGCCTGGGAATGGTAGGCCACACTTCTACCTGTATTCTTTTGCATTTTTCTCTCTTTTTAATAATTCCCTTTGAGGCTATTTAGTATCACTTGTTTGTGGTAGAATTCCAATATTTAAACATTCTATTGCCTATCATTTCTTAAATTTATAAAGGATAGTTCAAACATATTTTTCGTAACATTCATACATTCAATAATATAATCTTATCCAGTACCCTGAATATGAAAAATCTGGATGTTATTTTGTGCCTATAGCTAGAAAATATAAATTTTATACACACACACACACATATGTGTGTATATATATGTATATATGTATATACATACACACACACACACACACATATATATATATAACTTACAAACAGATCCAAGCAATAAAATGCAACATTCATGTATATACAGGTTTTATATTAGTATATACATATATTAAATAGCATAAATGCACATATATGAGTGGATAAACATAAATGGGTAACTTTCTATAGTAAGAAAATTGGTTATGAAGAGAAGACATGACTAGTACAGGAGAAAGCCTCCTACTTCTGAAGATTTGGTTTCATAGGATGAGATAAACTGACCTGGTATTAGCATCCCTATGTTCTGGAATTTATGCTGATCACAAAGTCTACAATGTTTTGCATCTGTAATCAGATAGATGATTTCAGATGAGGTATAATTAAGTTTAAATGCTCATGACAAGTAAATCTGTTGCTATCACTCTGCATAGTATAAGAGGTTTTACAGATAAAACCTCTGGGCTTTTTTTGGGGGGTTTGTTTTTGTTGAGTATTTTAATTAATTGTTTTGAAATTGCATATAATATGTTTGATCACCTTTATCCACTTACCCCATCTTCATCCAGATCTTTCTTCATGTAGCATAAATTTTAAGTGGCATTAACAATAAAAACCCAGAGTCAGATATAAGAGTTAATGCTAAAGATCAGAGAAGCAGAGCGCCCAGCCACTAGAGTTCTTACCACTACCAATGCTTGGACTGAAGGGGCGATCCTATCTCTAGGAATGTGTAGACTGCGCTTCCAGACTGCATCAGAGCTCTGTTCCTCATGCATTATATGCCTCTCTTTCACCAGCCATATCACTTCCCATCTTTATCTTCCTGATTCTGGGGTTAAAGGTATGAGGCATCACCATCTGCCTCTTTTTCTCTTTGAGACTGCATAAACCTAGTGTAGATGAAGGTGGCCTTGGACTCCTGTCTTCTGCCTTTATTTACGAAGTGCTAGCATTAAAGGTGTGTGTCATCACAGCTTGACCTCTATGTCTAACTAGTGACTTAGCTCTGCACTCTGTTCTTCAGGTAAGCTTTATTTCTTAGATTACAAGCAAAATATCACTACACCTCCACATTCTTTATTAACCCAACTTTGCGTCCTCATGAAAAATAAGGCTGTCCACTCTCTCCATACCTCTAAAATATAGTGCTTGAAGTTCTAGCAATAGCAATAAGACAGCATAAGTAGATCTAGGGAATTCGAATTGGACAGAAAGAAGTCAACTTTCGTTATTTGCAAATGATATGATAGTGTACATAAGTGAACCCAAAAACTCTACCAAAGAACTCCTACAGCTGATAAACACCTTTAGTAATGTGGCAGGATACAAGATCAACTCCAAAAAATCAGTCGCCCTCCTATACACAAAGAACAAAGATACAGAGAGGGAAATCAGAGAAACATCACCTTTCACGATAGCCACAAATAGCACGAAGTATCTTGGGGTAACTCTAACTAAGAAAGTGAAAGATCTATTTGACAAGAACTTTAGGCTTTTGAAGGAAGAAACTGAAGAGGATACCAGAAAATGGAAGGATCTCCCATGCTCTTGGATTGGGAGGATAAACATTGTAAAAATGGCAATTCTACCAAAGCAATCTATAGATTCAATGCAATCCCCATCAAAATCACAACAAAATTTTTCACAGAATTTGAGGGAACAATAATTAACTTTACATGGAAAAACAAAATACCAAGGATAGCCAAAACAATCCTATACAACAAAGTACTTCCAGAGGCATTACCATCCCTAACTTCAAACTGTATTACTGAGCTACAGTAATGAAAACAGCTTGGTATTGGCACAAAAACAGAGATGCTGACCAATGGAATCAAATCAAAGACCAGGATATAAACCCTCAAACCTATGAACACCTGATTTTTGACAAAGGAGCTAAAATTATACAATGGAAGAAAGAAAGCATTTTTAACAAATGGTGCTGGCATAAATCGATGTCAACCTGTAGAAGAACGAAAGTAGATCCATTTCTATCATCATGCACAAAACTCAAGTCCAAATGGATTAAAGACCTCAATATTAATCCTACCACACTGAACCTGATAGAAGTGAAAGTGGGAAGTAGTCAGCAACACATGGGCACAGGAGACCATTTCCTATGTAGAACCCCAGTAGCACAGACAATAAGAGCAACAATGAATATATGGGACCTCCTGAAACTGAGAAGCTTCTGTAAAGCAAAGGACACTGTCATTAAGATAAAAAGGCTACCTTCTGACTGGGAGAAGATCTTCACCAACCCCTCATCAGACAAAGGTCTGATCTCCAAAACAAATAAAGACCTCAAGAAATTAGACATTAAAACTCTAATTAACCCAATTAAAAAATGGGGTACTGAACTGTACAGAGAATTCTCAACAGAAGAATTTCAAATGGCCTAAAGACACTTAAGATCATGCTCAACCTCCTTAGCGATCAGGGAAATGCAAATCAAAATAACTTTGAGATACCATCTTACACCTGTCAGGATAGCTAAAATCAAAACCATAAATGATAGCCTATGCTGGAGAGGATGTCGAGTAAAGGGAACACTCATTCATTGTTGGTGGGAATGCAAATTTGTGCAGCCACTTTGGAAATCGGTGTGGTGGTTTCTCAGGAAACTGCGAGTCAATCTACCTCAGGACCCAGCAATTCCACTTTCGGGAATATACCCAAGACATGCCCAATCATACTACAAGAGCATTTGTTCAACTATGTTCATAGCAGCACTATTTGTAATAGCCAGAACCTGGAAACAACCTAGGTGCTCCTCAATAGAAGAATGAATAAAGAAGGTGTGGCACATATACACTTTAGAGTTTTATGCAGCGGTAAAAAGCAATGACATCTTGAATTTTGCATGCAAATGGATGGAAATTGAAAACACTTTACTAAGTGAGATAATCAAGACCCAAAAAGATGAATATGTTATGTACTCACTCATAAGTGGATTCTAGCCATAAGTAAACGACATTGAGCCTATAGTTCGTGATTCTAGAGAAGCTAAATAAGAAGGTGAACCCAAAGAAAATCATGTAGTTATCCTCCTGGATATTGGAAGTAGACAAGATTGCCAGGCAAAACTTGGGAGCATGGGGGTAGGGGTGGGGTGGGGGTAAAAGGAGACTGGGAGAGAGAAGGGAGAAGGGGAGGATTGGGGTGATCTTGGGGGAATGGTTTGGTTGACATGGAGAAATGATAGATATGGGAGCAGGGAAGAAGATATCTAACTAAGGGAGCCATTTTAGGGTTGACAAGAGACTTGGCTCTAGAGGGGTTCCCAGGTGTCCAATGTGATGTTCCCAGCTTGTTCTTTGGGTAGCGGAGATGAGGGTGCCTGAACTGGCCTTATCCTATAGCCATACTGATGAATATCTTGCATATCACCGTAGAACTTTCATCTGGCGATGGATGGAGATAGAGACAGAGACCCACATTGGAGTACTGGACTTACCTCCCAAGGTCCAAATGAGGAGCAGAAGGAAGGAGAACATGATCAAGGAAGTCAGGACCACGAGGGGTGCATCCACCAACTGAGACAGTGGGACTGATCTAATGGGAGCTCACCAAGGCCAGCTGGACTGGGACTGATGGAGCATGAGATCAAACGACTCTCTGAATGTGGCTGACAATGAGGGCTGACTGAGAAGCCAAGGACAATGACATTGGGATTTAATTCTACTGCAAGGACTAACTTTATGGGAGCCTAATCTGTTTGGATGTTCACCTTCCTAGACCTGGATGGAGGGGGGAGGACCTTGGACTTCCCACAGGGCAGGGCACCCTGACTTCTCTTAGGATTGGAAAGAAAGGGGGAGGGTTAGTGGGATTGAGAGGAGTTGGAGGAAAATGGGAGGAGGTGAAGATGTGGAAATTTTTAATAAATAAATAAATAAAGATAAAATAAGATAAAATACCAGTCCCACTTGTATTGTCTATATAGTTTGAGGTGTGTGGCCATTCACTGGAGCACGTGAGATATAACAGAGATCACTGCCTTAAGGAAAGCTAACTCTCCCTCTCCGGTAACTATCAATAACCAACAGGTGCTGAGGCAGTTGTGGGACTTTGTGACCACTTGTCACCTTCATGCTGTGAATTTGTCTGATTGAGCTTGTGTAGGTCTTATCCAACTGTGTCTGGCAGCCACGATAGTCCTGCACCACCTCTGGCTCTTACATTCCTCCCAACTGCACTTATGCAGTGTTTCCCAGGGTGAGAATGGCATGACAGGAGGAAGAACTTTTCTTTAAGGCAGAGAGACATAACTTGGTGTTGATATATGTAAAGGAAGAAACAGAATGATGGAATAAAACAGCTTTAATAGGTTGGGAGACAGGAGTTCATGAAAAAGGAGAGAATATGGGGAGAGATAACAACAAAGACTTTCTGAACAGAATCAATTTGAATAACTTCTACTGCAGAAGATCCATCAAATGTAAGCATATTCACATAGGATTGTTTTCTTAACACAGGATTTAAATGACAGAGAAATCAGAAAGAAAGTAACAATGGCCAGTTATCTGAAATAGCAGACAAAATAGAAAGTAAATGCCTAGAATACAAGAATTGAGAATTTATCATTGAAAGAGATTATAAAAATATCTCAGGATATTTTGAGAAGGGAAAATTTTTTCATGAGAAAATTTTTTCATTCAGCTTCTTTAGGGCAAGCTTGACATCTTTATTTCTCAGGCTGTAGATCAATGGGTTCAGCATTGGAACAATAATAGTATAAAACACAGAGGACACTTTCCCTTGGTCCATGGAGCTGACTGATGATGGCTGCAGGTACATGAATGCAGCAGACCCAAAGAAGACAGCAACAGCTGACATGTGTGAGCTGCAGGTGCTGAAGGCTTTGGACCTGCCTTCTGTGGATTTAATCCTGAAGATGCTCACAATGATGAAGATGTAAGAACTCAGGATACTCAGTGGAGGTAAAATGATATTAAAAGCACTAAGACATAAAACTACTAATTCATTGATAAAAGTATCAGAACAAGAGAGCTCCAAGAGTGGAAAAAGATCACAGAAGTAGTGGTTTATTACATCAGCCTTACAGAAATGCACTCTTAGCATGCAGACTATGTGAGTTGTGGCACCAATCAAACTAATACCATACACTCCAAATATCATCCAGAAACAGACTTGATAGGACATTTTAATATTGTAAAATAATGGGTTGCAGATGGCAACATAGCGATCATAAGCCATTGCTGCCAGCAAGTGAGCCTCTGCAATTGCAAAAACAATAAAGAAGTAGAGCTGAGTCATGCATTCAGGGTAGGAGATGATGTTCTTCACTGTTACAAAGTTCACTAGCATTTTGGGGGTAATCACAGTAGACTGGCAGAGGTCAATTAAGGACAGACTGCTGATGAAGAAGTACATGGGTGTGTGCAAGTGAGAACTGAATTGTATCAGGGTGATCATGCCCAGATTTCCCACCACTGTGGCCACATAGATTCCTAGAAAGAGGAGGAAGAGAGGCAGCTGAAGCTCTGGTTTGTCTGTTAACCCATCAAGAATGAATTCAGTTACTCTGGAAAGATTTGCTTGTAACATTTTCTTCTGGGAGTTCTATGAAGAAAGAAGGAAAAATGAGGTAAGTATCTGTTATACTATGTACTGAGGTGTGAAAGAGAATTCAAGTTTTCATTTGGCCAAGCATCTTTAATATTCTGACAAGTACTGTTGCATGTTAGTCATTAAGTACCAACAAACGGCACTAGTAATTAAATATATGGCACATCTGTTCCTGTTTGTGACTTCTGCCATGAAAATGGGAGTACTCAGTCCATGAACAACCAAGGAGAGATCTGATGCATTCAATGATGGAATCTACTAAGGACTTTTCATGACTCATTTGTAGTTCTTCCAATCACTACACAAAAGAAAACTTTTTCTGTTTAATAATAAGAGCAGCATCCACACAAAGACAAAATAGCACCAGGCACACACACAATCCATCCCATATGTAATAGTGGTAATCTAAAGACTTTTTCCATAAGGCTATGAAAAGTGTAATTATTCTCTCTCACTAACCAACATTATAGTTGAAGTTAACATTAAGGCAATCAGGTAGGGACACAAAATCAAAAGGCATCTGCATTGTAAAGTGAATAATAAAACTACCTGTACATATATATGAATTTATTTTGTATACAGAATATTCAAAGAAATCTGTAAGAAAGAAGCACTGTAATTTATTTAAAAGGACATCATGGAAATGAGATCTGAAATCATCAAGAAAATTCAGCAATCATAAAAATCCATTTAAAATATCACGAAAAAATATTAAAACACTTAGAAATAAAGACATATAAGACATTGCATTTGAAATTATCAACATTGTCAAAGGGACAAATCATTACATACATGGAAAGACATCCCATCTTCATGAATCACAAGACTGAATATTGTGAAATGGCAGTAACTCCCAAACTAGTCTAAAAGCTCATTGTAATCCCAATAAAGATATTTCTATTATCGTTAATGACATAATGAATATAAATATCCACAAAGTAGAAAGGTCTGGGAATAATTAGAACAAACCTGAAGGAGAAGAAAAGAATTTAAAGTTTCAAGTTCCCCCCATTGAAAATATACCACAACCATATAATATGCTCATAATATAGATGTGCTGTTAAACGTAAGGAAAGGGCAATCTGTAAAAAAATACATCTACATATTAAAGTTATGTGTTTAATAATAATTTAGTGTAGAAATAATAGTTTTTCAATAAATGGGCAATTAGATGAAGTATAATTTAAATAGTTAATATGCACCTCTTCATATTATGAAAAAGTTAATTAAAATGGGTGGTATATATAAATATTTTATATAAAAATAGCATTTGAAAGAAAACTGCAGTACTAGAACTTCATGCTCATGAAATTGGTGATAGTTTCTTGGATAATTTTCACAATTGGAGGCTTCAACAATAGATAAATAAATAAATAAATAAATAAATAAAGTAATTAGTTGGGCACAATTTAAAACCAAAATAATTTGTACCTTTAAGGACATCATATATAGGCAACCATACCCCACTTAATCTGTGACCACTGGAGCCTTAGCCCTGGCTACCCTTGAAAATGTGAATGTCTGGGTTCCCAGTTGGTCCATGGGGCAACACCCTGCACTTCACATTAACACACCAAACCCCAGAGACCCCGGAGCAGCCTCCCCACACCTGTAGCCATCCTGCACTGCATCTGCGACACTGCATCTGGAGTCTTGTGCCTGACTGTCCCTGGAGAGGTGAACGTCTGGATTCCTGGTTGAGAGTCCTTCTCTCTAGACATATCCCATGCATCATCTTAACCTACCAAACCCCAGAGACCCTGGAGCAAAATCCCTACACCTGATAACAGTTCCAACTGCATCTGCGATCACTGGAGTCTTGGCCATGACTGTTCCTGGAGAGAAGACCCCAGAGCTATATCAGTGACCACCAGAGGCACAGCCCACATGTTCCTGAAAGAAGCTACAGGCTTCATTCACACCTATTTGAGGGAGACGGATCTCCTGAAGCACAGGCCTTTTCTGCACCCATTGAGAAAAGGGATGGGTAGATGATAGTGTAAGAATACATTTAGAATATAAAGAGCAATATGGCAACATCAGAAACTAGTGTTTCTACATCAACAAGACCTGAACATCCCAGAACAGATGAAATAGAATTAAATGACCTTAAAAATAGCATTATGAAATGATAGAGATTCTTAGAAAGGAAAATGAAAAATTCTCTTAAAAATGGAAGAAAAGAGAAACAAAAATTTTCAATAAAGCAGCAAATTCCTTTAAAAAAAGCAAAAAACTAAAAAACAAACAAACAAAAAACAGGCAAAGGAAATGTTCAAGACTTGAAAACTGAAATAGAGGCAATAGAGAAAACACAAATCGAGGGAAATCTGGAAAAGGAAAATCTGGGTAAACCATCAGAAACTACAGATGCAGGCATGACCAACAGAATACAAGAGATAAAAGAGAGAATCTCAAACACTGAAGATATGGTAGAGGAAACAGATTCATTGGTCAAAAAATTGTTAAACCCCATAAAATCTTAACAGAGAACATCTAGGAAATCTGGGACATAATAAAAGATCAAACCTAGGAATAATATTGATAGAATGAGAAGACTTTTTCAAAGACTCAGAAAGTATATTCAATGAAATCTGGAAGAAAACATTCCCAACTGAAAGAAGAACATAGCTATGAAAGAACAAGAATCTTACAGAACTCTAAATAGATTGAACTAAAATAAATGTACATTCATCACATAATAATCAAAATACTAAACATACAAAATAAAGAGAGAATATTAAGAGCTACAAAAAAGCCATGTAAAATACAAAGGCAGATCTACCAGAATTACACCCGACTACTCAACGGAAACTCTGAAAACCAAAAGGTCATAGATAGATTTTGTGCAGACACTAAGACCACTGATGCTAGCCCATACTACTATACCTAGCAAAACTTTCAATCACCACAGATGTAGAAAACAATATATTCAATGACAAAACCAAATTTAAACAATACCAATCACCAAGTCTAGCCCTACAGAAAGTACAAGAAGAAAAACTTCAATCCAAGGAAGTTAAGTATAGCTAAAAAACACAGGCTATAATAATGCCACACCAGCAAAACCCAAAGAAGGGAAACACACACAGTACCACCACCATCAACAAAATTAAAAAATAACAAGAATTAGCAATCACTGGTCATTAATATCTCTTAATATCAATGGTCTCAATTTGCCTCGAAAAAGACACAGGATAACAAAATAGATACAAAAACAGGATTCATCCTTCTCCTGAATACAAGATAGATAAGATACCTCAACTTCAAAGATAGACATTACCTCAGAGTGAAGGGTTGGGAAAAGATTTTCTAATTAAATGTACCTAAGAATCAAGCTGGTATAGCTATCCTAATATCTAACAAAATAGACTTCAAATTAAAATTCATCAAAAGAGTTAAGAAGGACATTTCATATTTATCACAGGAAAAATCCATCATGATGAAATCTCAATTATGAATATCTGTGCCCCAAATACAAGGTACACACATTTATAAAAGGAACATTACTAAGCTAAAATAGTTCATCAAAACTCACACACCAATAGTGAGAAATTTCAATCAATACCCTACTCTCACCAGTGGATAGGACTGCTAGACAGAAGCTTAACAGAGAAGCAAAGAAACTAATAAATGTTACGACTCAAATGGATTTAACAGACATCTATAAAACATTTCTCTCAAACACAAAAGAATATAACTTCTTCCCAGCACTGCATGGAAGTTTCTCTAAAATCAAATACACAGTTCTTAACAAAGCAAACTTTAACAGATAGAAAAAAATTGGAATAACCCATGTATCTTATTGGATCACCATACATGACTTAAAGATAGAATTCAACAACAGCACTAATTGCAGAAAGTCCACAAACTCATCAAAATTGAACAATGGTCAATTGAATCACCCTTAGATCAAGAAAAAAGAAAGAAAGAAAGAAAGAAAGAAAGAAAGAAAGAAAGACAGACAGAAAGAAAGAAAGAAATTAAAGACTTCCTAGAATTCAATGAAAACAAATGCACAACATACCCAAACTTATGGGATACTTTGTAAGCAGTACTAAGAGGAAAGTTCATAGCAATAAACACCTACATAAAAGAAGTGGAGAACTCTCACACTAGTGACTTAAGAGCTCACCTGAAAGCTGTAGAACGAAAAGGAAGCAGACTCACCCTGAAGGAGTAGGTTTGAGGGATAAAATCAATAAAACAGAAACAAAAAAAATATAAAGAGTCAATAAGACAAAGAGTTGATTCTTTGAGAAAATCAACAATCTACATAAAACATTTATCTGAACTAACCACAAGGCAGAGTGAGCATATCCAAATTAACAAAATCAGAAGTGAAAAGGGAAATATAACAACAGACACTGAGGAAAATCAAATGATCATCAGGACTTGTACTCCACAAAATTGTAAAATTTAAAGGAAATGGACAATTTTCTGGATAGGTACCACATACCAAAATCAAATCAAGACCAGAAAAACAATTTAAAAGATGTATAACCCCTAAGGAAATAGAAACTTTCATCAAAATTTTCTCAACTAAATACATCCAGAATCAGAGAGTTTTAGCATAAAATTCTACCAGAAGATCAAAAAGAGCTAATACTAATAGCCCACAAATTGTTCCACACAATAGAAACAGAGTGGAGGGACATTGTTATTTAGATTCACAAATCACAAAAAAATGCAACTAAAAAACAGAATTACAGACCTATCTCCCTCATAATATTGATGCAAAAATACTCAATAAAATGCTGACAAACCCATTCCAAGAGCACATCAGAAAAATTGGCAACCATGAATAAGTAGGCTTCATCCCAGAGATGCAGGAATAGTTCAACACATGAAAATCTATCAACGTAAACCACCACATAAACAAACTGAGAGAAAAAAGTCATATGGTCATCTCATTGGATGCTGAAAAAGCCTTTGACAAAATCCAGAACTCCATCATATAAAGGTCTTGGAAAAAGCAA